GACACCTTTTTTATTTTTTAAAGGAAATTAAAGCGTTGCGTATCTCCTCGCAAACTAAATCAGCTACACATACCTTTTAGTTTTAATGTACGATGTAGAAATAGCACACAATACTAGGTACTTAATCAACATCTTGCGCCCCCCCCCCCGAAAATTTGGTTCTGGATCCGCCCTTGCCGTTAGTCCGGAGGTTCAATAGTCCGAAGGTTCGATAGTCCAAAGGTTCGATAGTCCGAATAGACAGTAGTCCTTGCGTGCTTTTCGGCATGAGCCTTCGACCTGTTGAGTCTTTTATTCATTTGAAAATTATGCCAATTCCGACTATTGAACTTTCGGACGAATGAACATTCGACCATTCATTAAAAAGGGACACTCGTGCAAAAACATGGCGCTTATGGTATACAGTACTATACAGTACAATACTCTCAAGTTACTCTCCCCATACAGTACCACAGTACTCTAAAGTTGGCATTACTACAGCTGACAACAAGTGTACACAGGCTGCTTTCGGGAACATAATCACGAATTCTGTTTAACGAACTGTTTTCCTTACATATTCAACGCGTGGGCTCTGAATGTTTCGTCCAAAACACCACCGCTTCACTTTAACAATAAGACCATCAGCAACGTACACGTCCAGATGAGCACGCATTTTGATGCAATTAAGTTTGATGCAAGTTTGTTTCTTATGCATCGATCATGAAACGGGCAAGAGCTGTATCAAAATTCCGTTCAATTTCGATAACACTGGATGAGCTTCACGTTAACCATCCATTTCAGATTTCAGTTTTTTTTTTAGGGGGGATGTTAAGGGTAACTGTTTCCATGGAAAAGAAAATACAACCAAGTAACCCGAGACAAAAACGTCATGAGAGCGAAATATAAACAGGGGAAAAAAAGAATTGACGTACCAACCGAAAATCGGATGTATGACTCCCAGTGATTGTCTTAAGTGGCGAATTTGGGTCCACATTTGGGTTTAAGTTGCACACTGCAGTTTGTTTCACACTTGCACTCATAATTAATCTCGGTCTAGGTACCTACCAAATAACAACCAAATTGGACATGCAGTTCTGTAGATATGGACATATGAAAATACACATTTAATGTAACGTTACATGACTTGTGATGACGTTATCACGTCACTCAATTTTTACCTATAACATATCCCGATATAGGTACATAAATCAAGCTACAACCAAATCGGAACTATTGTTCTTTAGCTGTAGGCCTTAGACATGTGATGACGTCAACATGATCTCACTTCAATTTTCACACGGCACACGATGCAACGTTATCGCAACGAAAATCGTCAGAGACCATCTGTGGGTGGTAGTATACGTGTGTGCCAAGTCTAAAGTCAATCACATTGACGAAAGGGCCAAAGTGTATTGGTGGAAGAAAAACGTGTACAAACCCTACTGAGAGGAGTCTGAAAAAGAAGGCGGGGAATGGGGAGGAAAAAAATATTAATGAAAACAAGAGCTGTTTACTCCACTCACGAAAATCCCCTGAGATATTGATTACGCAAAAAAAAAGTTTGTTTTTGGCACATTGTTAGAGCCTATAAGAATGAAGTTTGACTTTATAATTGAACATCGCGCAGGGCAGACACACGGCAATGCTGACGCCCTCTCGAGATCTCCAGGGTGCCGTGCTACCCCGACGATTGTGACAAGTACGGCGCTGAAAGTGAGCAGTGGTCTCATTTCAATAAAGTCGACAACGTTAATCCATCTACCAGAAGCATCAACACTAACTCTGCTGAAGCTCAATCCCCTCAGAACATGATCACTAAGTGCCACACCCGTGCAGTGACGTCACCTCCGAAATAATCAAGCCCGTATCATTCGTGACAGTTCTCATACTGATGGTAACAGTGGTATAGCACTCCTACTTGGTGGTGTGCGCAGCCTAGTTGGGCGTATTTGGCGCTCGTGCATTGAAGTTCAGCGTCGGCAGTAGGGACAGAATTCCGATCTGCTGTTTTGCAAACACAGACTCGCCCACTGGAGAAACTCCCGGACACTTGTCCGCCGCCATTTGGGTCATGCGACCAAAACGTGCGAAAAACTCCACTGACTCAGTAAGAAAGGAAAGAACTGCGACTCGCCCTCTGTCCCGGCAAGAATGCAGTACCGGTGTAAGTACCGGATTGCAAAGTGCAGAACAATCTAATCTGACTGAAAAGCCGGATGACGGAGACAGAGATTTTCCAGGCGATCGTGCCAGCATGGTCACTAACACCGTTTCAAGTGACGGACATACCGCATCGTGGGTCAACGTTTATGTACCACGGAGAAAATTGCTGCGATGCAAAGAGCAGACTCAGAACTGAAAGTTGTAGTTGAGTGGTTGGGTCAATCACCCCAACGTCCCTGTAGAGACACAGTGGCTCGTCAAAGACCTTGCAGAACGGAATACTATATGAACGGCGGTAACTTCCGACAGAACAAAGTCATATCTTCAGCTCGTAGTCCTCGACTAGCTGAAAAATACTGTGTTACAACTTACGAGCTACCCATAATGCCGTAACATCTGCTCATCTTGGTGTCAAACAAGACAATCAGAAAGACAAAACGCCAGCTCTACTGGTATAAGCTAAAGGAGTCCGTCCGTGAGTGGATCTGAAAGTGAAGCAAGTGTGGTGCCCGCAAAAGACCACACCCAAACTCCCCCGAGCCTTGAGGACTTATGTCTCTAAGGACTCTGCCCAAAACCGAACAAGCGAAGTGTGCGTTCTTTCAGCAAAACGAAGACAATTCACACACATCCCTATGTGATTTGTTTTCGCTTTGCTTAAACAACATTTACCTTTGTGTGATCCGTTTAAAACGGTGGCTGTGTTTAAAATTCCGTAACTTGAACGTCACATGAGTGATTTCAATTACTCTTGTACTTCTATCGTGTCCTACTCAAATTGTTCTCGACCAATGTTGAGCACAGACCTGTGTCGTGATGGTGTTGTTGGCTAAATCTTTGGAGGTACAAGGCTCTGACAACAGCGGACATCTCATGAGATGGTCCATTGTGTGAGATTCTGTTCCACAGTCGCATGTCGTTGGACCTGTAGTGTATCCCCACTTATTGAGTGATTCCCTACATCGGCCAACTCTGGTGCGAAGGCGGTTGAGTGCCTTCTAAATAGGCCAGTTATTCTCGGCACCTCGAGGGAGACTTTCAGCAGCAGGGTTTTCATGTCCAATTGTTGTGTGAGGTTGGCGAGATTTCCATTCCACGTTTTTCTCTGCTGCAGAGGTATGAAGGGGTTCTACAGTTGACTGAAAACTGTTGCGTGACTCGAGTCGGCTCGGTGGGTATATGCCTGTATAGTGAGTGTATGTCATCCATGACTTGCTTCTGTCGTTCGGCTCACTGGCCGCTGCCATCAAGACATTTGGTGGTGAGATGCCAGAGAGTATGTACAGGCTCTCAGAGTTTGTAGGCTTAAGACAGCCTGTTATACATCTACAACTTGCGTTTAAAGCGGAATCTAGCTTCTTGACATGTGTAGATCGTTCCCACACTGGACAAGCATACTCTGTTGTTGAAAAGCAGAGGGCAAGTGCTGTGGGTCGCAGTGTAGTAGGGCATGCTCCCCATCTGGAGCTGGTGAGTTTGCTGAGAATGTTGTTGCGGGTGCTGATTTTCGTTGTGGTTTGCTCAACGTGGGCCTTATAGGTTAGGCTTCTGTCCAATGTTAATCCAAGGTAAACTGGATTAGTTGTGTGCTGTAGCTTTGCACTAGTCCTTGTGGCTTTGAGTCGTCTGTTTGCTTCTTTGTTCTTAAGATGGACTCAAGCAGACACTTGTGTTTTTGATGGATTTGCTCAAGCATGTTCTCTTCGTAGTAGCCACATAGTGCAGAGAGGGCATTGGTAAGGACGTTCTCCACCTCTTTGAAGTCTTACTTTGAGTGGTAACGCACTGGTCGTCTGCATAGATGACGCGCCTGGTATGGCCATATCTCGGTTGGTCGTTGGTGTAGATATTTATACTAGGCCGTTCTTTTGTCTCCCCATCTATTGCGTTTTCCTTCAAGTTCAACAAAGAAGCGTCGGTTAGAAAGCATTGCTTCTATGAGATCTGTGAGATGGACATCTTTGGTAATATCGAGTATTTTACATAGGAGGAGTCTGTGATTTACAGTGGCGTAGGCAGCTGATAGGTCTACAAAAACTGATCCGGTTATCATTCCTTGCTCAAAGCCATCTTCTATGTGTTGCGTAAGGCTGAGGAGTTCACTAGTTGTGGACTTCCCTAGTCAGAAGCCTGCCTGTTCAGGGATAAGTTGTTCATCTATATGTGGAGCGATTCTGTTCAGGATGAGTCTTTCAAAAAGCTTGTAGGGGTGGCACAGGAGAGAGATTGGCCGGAAGCTTTTTGGGTCGGATGGGTCTTTGCCTGGTTTCAGAAGCGCCATTACGTGTGCTTTCCGCCAAATTTTGGGGATTTTCAGGCCTTCCATACAATTGTTTAATAGTTGCAGGAGCTTTAGTTCCAAAATGCTTGATTTGTTCTGTGGCAGTGTTGTCCAATCCAATAGCCTTCCCTGGTTAGAGGCTGGATATGCCAGTTTCAAGTTTGACATTGAGAAAGGTTTCGTGAAACTTGGGTTATCCTTGTATTTTGTCCTATCGGTTTTGGTTTGGGTTTACTCTTTGCTTTAGGTGCCTTGCCATTGAGAAGTAGTTGATGTGCAACTTGGTTGGCTGTTAAGTTGTGATGTTGGTTAGGCTTCTTTGGGTCGTTGCCTAGCTTTTTGACGAGTGCCCAGGCTTTCTTACTGTTCTTAGACATGTTTGTGGTTTCAATGAGAGAAATTCAACATTGCCGCCGTTCATCGGAGATGTTGGCAATTTTAGCTCTTCGTCTCTTGCAGTAGTTTCCTCCGCAATGGGGTCTCTTTCAAACATGGCGGTGTATTCCTCATAGAGCTTGGCGCTATGTCTGTTAAACCTGGGATGTGGTACGGCAGCCTTTTGTACTAAAGAAAGCTTATGAATCGGGCTCTCATATCCTAGATTTTGAAAATGCAACATGCAGAACTTCACCAAAAACAATGGTCCGACATTTGGGTTTCGGGGTTTTTTTTGTACTCACCCTGTAGTTTTGCGAAATAACGCAATAGTTTTGCAAAACACTACAAAAGTTTATTATGCAATACCTACCATTGCAAAAAAAAATTCAATAAAATTTATTGCAAAATAACGTAACAGTATTGAGAAATAACGCAACCGTATTGCAAAATAAAGCGAAAAAATAATGCGGAACCTGCCCTGGCGTACCTTGCCAAGGCGTCACAAAATCGTGTTGCTTTCGCGCCGATAGTATTGTGCACAGTATTGTGAACTAACCCCAGTAGTATTGCAAAATAACGCAAAAGTTTTGCAAACCATTGCAAAAGTTAATTATGCAATACGTACCATTGCAAAGAAATGCAATAACATTTATTGCGAAATAACGTAATAGTATGGAGAAATAAAGCGTTCGCTGCGAAACTTGCCCTGGCATCACTTGCCCTGGCGTCACAAATTCGCGTTCGCTTTCGCGCCAAGCCTTTAAAGACCTGTTCATACTTCATGCAAATGCGAATGCGAAGCGAATTTGACGTCATGAAACATTCGCTGCGATATTCGCCCGATTTGAAATCTGTTCAACTTTTGCGAATTCGCAGCGCGAATACTTGCCATGACGTCACAAATTCGCGTTTGCTTTCGCTTTCGCGCCGAGTATGAACCGGGCTTTAATGTAATAGCATTGCAATATAAAACGATAGTATTGTGAAATAACGCAATAGTATTGCGAAATACTGCACTCTGAGGATTGAAAAACTATTGCGTTACTTCACAATATTATATTACGTTATTTCGCCAATTTATTTTATTATTTTGCAAAACTATACTAGGGGTTATTTCGCTTTTAAAACCAGGCACGAACTGGCTTCCGTTTTTGTTTACCAAAGAAAACTAATACTATAATAATAGAAAACATGATGAGTTCAACCTACAGCACCAGGGTTAAAGCCCCTGCTTCAAATCTGCCCTCTCACGGAACTATTGACACTCTGTCTTATGACGACGGCGTCCGAAACCCTCTTGGGAGGGCATCGTCTGATAAAAATAATCTCCGGAAGGGTCTTGCTCGATCGACCTAGGAAAACCATCCTTTTTGGTCAGCTTAATTGTCAAAGTCTCTCTTCGCTTTCATCAAGAGAGGAACTTAATAAGCACATATGTGACTACAACCTATCTGTTACCTGCATCCAAGAGCACCGTCAAGTGCATCGACCTGAAGACCCTGATATCCGAATCTCTAGTTTAGGATCATCAACCATCTTCACCTCTTCTGCAACTCGGAATCGACAAGGTGCAGCCGTTGGTGGTGTAGCAATAACTGTTCAAACATCACTGCTCCCGCTGCTGACTTCTATCTCTAAGATCAACGACAGAATTATGCTCGCCATCTTCAAAGGAAATCCCAAGACATACGTTGTCTCCTGTTACTCTCCCACTAACACCAGTGATGAGGCGTCTATTACTGGGTTCTACAAATGTCTCAATGACACCATTGCCTCCATTCCCCTACATGTCCTCCTTGTCATCGGAGGGGACTTCAACGCTCATGTTGCAAGGCAGTTCTCCTACCACTCTACTACCAACCGTAATGGTCAGCTCCTCAGTGACTTTGTCAATCGTAACAACCTTCTGATTACCAACACACTATTTCAGAAGTCCTCCAAAAAGCTCTGGACTCACCGTTCACCTAACAAGTACCTGTCACAGATTGACTTCATCCTGTGCCGTAAACGTTGGAGAAACAGCATCCTAGATTCTCAAGCGTATTCAACATCTGACCCAATTGGCTCCGACCATCGTATAGTCTAGTCTGTGCTAAGATAAGGCTCAGTCTTCGTTCCTGTTATGGAGTGGCATTACGCGGCCACCGTATCTATATTCTATGATGTTATTACGGGCTGTTAATAAACGTCTCTCAGTGAATGCTACACTTGAGTCCTGCCGTCGTTAGAACATGGTGTCAGAAATTAGCTGAATCCAGCGCCATTACCGCAAAGAACCGGCAAAATCTTCGGCAATCTTGGTGAATGGATCACAAGGCATCCGTCGGCAGCACAGACTGATCCTGTCACACATGGTAGGCTGTGCACGAGAACAATAAACTGTACAATTTTCACGCGGAGTTCCCGCCATTGAACACGTGCGTATTACACTGTGAACGATAGACTGTACATGTACGTATAAATTGCACGTTGAGTTCACGCCATTGTCGTCAACGTGCGTTTCGCTGTAAACTACGGAGGCCTGTAACGGACACATCGCGGTGTACATTACGCACTCACTGCATATTAACCTTGGCGCACTCGCATTCCCCACCGGCGAAATTGGACATGAAAGGAGACCAGGTTTCCAACTGGCAATTTTTCAAGTCAAGTTGGCAGAACTATCTAGTGGCCACAGAACTGGATAAAAAAGATACTTCCATCCATGTGGCTACATTACTCACAGTTATGGGGAAGGAGTGCTATGAAGTGTACGAAAATCTGCCACTAACAGAGGAACAGAGAAAGTCACCACAGCAAATCCTAACCAGCCTTGGAGCTCATTTTGACCCTAAACGCAATGTGGTGTACAAACGATTCATGTTTTACTCCTGTAAGCAAGAGGCCAAAGAGAACATTGACACTTTCTTGAACAGGATGAGAAAGTTGGCAACCACATGCAATTATGGAGCGCTTCTCGATGAAATGCTCTGAGACAGGCTGGTCATAGGAGTAGTAGGCAACAGCATCCGTGCTCGTCTGCTGCGTGAGTCGTTACTGACATTGCAGAAAGCCATAGACATATGCCGCAGCAGTGAACAGGCAGCGATCCACCTTCAGCACACTTTGTGAAAAACAAGCAGCGGACACAGAAATCTGGAAAAGCCAGCAAGCCTCCGAACATGAATTGCAAATACTGTGGCAAATCACACAGCAAAGGCAAGTGCCCAGCCTACGGGACAACCTGCTCTAAGTGCCAAAAACGCAACAACTATGCGCAGGTTTGCCAGTCATCGGGCAAAGACCGCACCAAACGTCAGCCACAGAAATCCACACAGAAGCTCCACCAAATGGATGGAGACGAAAGTGGCAGCGACGAAAGCATCTATACAGTGCAGTCAAAGCCCAAGCAGCAATACTCTGTTGAGCTAGCAGTGGAGACGCCAACAAGGGATCTGACAAAGACCATCAGATTTCAGCTAGACTCTGGTGCAACTTGCAGCACCATGAAGCTGACAGACTACAAGCAGCTCAGTGACACGCCTCCGGTGCCATCAAAGACTAAACTGAAACTGTACAATGGCACAATAATTCATCCTGTTGGAGCTGCCAGCTTGAGATGCCAGATCAAAGGGGTCACCAGGAAAATCCACTTCGAGATCGTGAAGGATGTCCCCTCATCTCTGCTGTCAGGTCAAGCAGCAGAAGCTCTGGGACTAATGCAGTACGCACTGGAGTGCTTAGTGCATGCAGTGACAGAGTCACCGACTCAAACCAAGGAACAGGTCCTCATTGAGTACAAAGACGTATTCACTGGCCTTGGTCGGCTACCAGGTCACTACCACATAGACATTGATCACAGTGTCTCTCCAACGCAGAACATCAGGCGCAGAGTACCCATCCCGGTGCGGGCAGAGCTGAAACGAAAGCTAGACAGCATGACAGCCCAAGGCACCATTGCCCGGGTGACTGAGCCTACCAAGTGGATCCACAACATGGTAGTCGTCAGAAAGCCAAACAAAATCAGGGTATGCTTGGATCCACACGGCCTGAAAAAGGCCATTAAGCACAACCATTACCCCATTCCCACCGTAGACGAAGTAGCCCCGAGACTGAAGAACGCCAAGCTCTTGTCGGTGGTAGATGCCAAGGACGGTTTTCTTCAAGTCGTCCTTGACGAGCCCTCCAGTTATCTGACAACATTTTGGACGCCTTACGGGCGTTACCGCTGGTTGAGGATGCCCTTTGGTATCTCATCAGCACCGGAAGAATTTCAGCGCAGGCTCCATGAGTGCCTGGAAGGCCTGGAAAACATCGCAGTGATTGCAGATGACATCCTCGTCTACGGCTCAGGAGAAACGCAGGCTGAAGCAGAAGCCTCACACGACGCTGCATTCACCGCTCTTCTTTCGAGATGCAGAGAGCGGAATCTGAAGCTGAACGCAGCCAAGCTACGGTACAAGCTACCCAGTGTCACATACATGGGACACGTCTTCAGCTCAGACGGACCCTCCAGACCCGGAGAAAATCAAGGCCATACTCGACATGCCTCGCCCTACAGACGACCAGGAAGTGCTGAGACTCATCGGAGTGGTAACCTATCTGGCTAAATTCTTGCCAGAACTGAGCACAGTATGCGAGCCACTCGGACGTCTCACCGACAAGGACGTCATATTTGACTGATTGACACATCATGACGAGGCCCTGGACAAGATCAAGAAGCTCATCACTTAAGCACCAGTACTGAGCTACTATGATGTCAACCAAGACATCGCAATCGAGTGTGATAGCTCCGAGGTTGGGCTAGGAGCCGTCATCACACAAAATGGCCGCCCAGTCGCGTACGCCTCACGAGCACTTTCTGCCACAGAACGCAACTATGCTCAAATAGAAAAAGAGTGTTTGGCAATCGTATTCGCCACACAGCGCTTTGAGCAATACATCCTAGGCCGCGACAAAGTGCTCGTGCTCACCGACCACAAACCTCTGATGAACATCTTCAGAAAGCCAATCTTGATGAGCCCGTCTACAACGAATGCGACTCCGCCTACAGAAGTACTCACTACACGTAGAGTACAAGCAGGGTTTGCGAATGTACTTGAGCGATACACTGTCGCGAGCATTGTTGCCAACACGACAAGTCACAGATCAGACACCAGACTCTCTGATCTTCTCCGTCACTCAGGAGCAAAAGCTCAACATGGAGTTGGAAAACATGGAACCAACCATCTTCGTCACATACGAGCGTCTGCAGAGAGTCAAAAAGGCAACCCTCGCTGACCAAAACCCTACAAACGCTGATGCAGGTCATCCAAGCAGGCTGGCCAGGGGACAAGGCTCAAGTTCCCTAGTGTATCAGGGAATACTGTCCATACAGAGATGAGCTGTCAACACAAAATGGGCTCATCTTTCGCGGAACGCGTATTGTAATCCCAACAGCTCTCCGTGCAGACATGACAGCAAGGGCACATGCATCTCACATGGGCGTGCAGTACACCACCAACACTGCACGAGACATAATGTACTGGCCACGTATGCACACAGAACTGGTGGAGGCAGTCCAACGCTGCGCAATCTGCCAGGAGTCACAACCAGCTCTCCCCAAGGAACCCCTCATGACACACCCAGTACCCAAAAAACCGTGGCAACTAGTTGCGAGTGACTGTTTTGAGGTCAATGGACAAAACTACTGCGTACTAGTAGACCTCTACTCAGAATACATCGACTTGCGCGCCCTGGAAGACGTTACTTCCGAATCGCTAATCAAGAACTGAAGCCAGTGTTTGCCACCCACGGCATTCCTCACACCTTGATCACAGATAACGGATCAAACTACGTGTCAACACTTTGTGCGAATGACTGGGACTTTGAACACACTACCTCAAGCCCCTACTACTCCAAATCCAACGGAAAAGCAGAGTCCGCGGTCAAAATCGCCAAGGGACTTGTGACCAAAGCTGCCAAAGACAAAAGTGACGTGTGGAAGGCTATCCTTGAATGGAGGAACACCACTACTCCGGGAATGTCCAGCTCTCCGGCACAGCGCTTAATGTCTCGACGAACGCGCTCATTCCTCCCTTGCAAGAGCTCACTGTACAAGCCCCGGCACCGAGTAGAGGCCGTCACCGAGCAAGTCGTGACCAAAAGACAGACAGCTAAACTGTATCACGACCGCACTGCCAAAAGCCTCCCTGATCTGGTTGTCGGACAGCTAGTTCGCGCCAAAACTCGACCCAAGGTTGAAGGCTCCCCATGGACCCCGGGAGTGATAAAAGCCAAAGTTGCGCCACGCAGCTACATCGTAGAAGTCGGTAGCAACTGCTACAGACGCAACCGCGTTCACCTCAGAGACAGTCGGGAAAACGCTAAACAACCTACAACACCAGTCACATGCGTGAGTGAACCTCAGCTCATGCAGCAACCAGCTAGCACCGAGCCACCCAACTCGAGTGCCGCCATTCCGGTCGCTAAGGCACAAGATGTGCCTTCCACTCCGACAGACAAACCTCCAGGACTGAACACCAACGCTACCATCACCAGATCCGGTCGCATTTCCAGACCACCAAAGAGTTTTTCGAGTCATAAATCTGACTTTGGGACACTCACCCACAAAGCCTTAGGGCCATAGGCCAACACTTAGTTTAGATAGACTACACTTGCATGCAGTTTATTGGTTTAAGTTGCTTTTACTAAGTTGTTCTTAAACTAACCTTATTTATACTAAGTAGTGTTAAAGGTTTAGAGCTGTACCAAATACGTTCTAGTGTTAAAGCGTTCATAATGTTTGCTGAGTTATTCACAAAAGTTTAGCGTTCGTGATCACCACTGTAACAGACCACAGTTTACACTCAGTCTCAAGTGAAAGTTCAGCAACAACAAAAGACTGTTCCTTATCTTAAGGAAAGGGGATGTTATGGAGTGGCATTACTCGGCCACCGTATCCATATTCTATGATGTTATTACGGGCTGTTAATAAACGTCTCTCGTGAATGCTACACTTGAGTCCTGCCGTCTTTAGAACAGTTCCACAAAACCTACTGCCCGTCCTAGACTGAACTGGTCTACAATGGCTTCAGATAGAGAACTTGCATCTTCTATTGGGGACCGTATCACCCATGAGTGGTCCTCATTGTGCCCTGACGACCAATCTTATGGCCCCTTCGTCAAAGTGTGTGAGAGTGTTGGGAAGTCTCTCCTTCCATCACAAACCAAACGACCACCTAGCATTGCATCATCGACACCAGTCAATGTAGCTCGAACAAAGGTACTCACCTCCTTACCAACCAATCTTCCTGCTGCTCAATCCAACCTCAGTAGTGTGTATGACGAGCAAGAAGACCTCAGAGTCAACAACATCCTCAGTGCTTTTGATGAGTGGGAATCGACCAACTCCATCCAAAATGCCTGGGCACTGGTGAAACAGCTCTCTGGTAAACGACCAAACACCGTTTTCATTCAAGGTGATGATCGACTTGCCTCTTGGAAATCCCTTTTTGAGAAGCTTCTCAGCTCTGATAATGCCTCCAATGACCCAGTCTCCATCGATCCCGTCTTTGATCCAAACCCTAACATCCCAACTGGCAAATTCTCCAAAGCCGAGGTCAACATAGCCATTAAACAAATGAAGCTTGGCAAGGCTCCTGTCTGGACAACATACCTATTGAAGTTTGGAGGCTTCCTAAACTTAAGAAATATCTCACAAGGTTCTGCAATGCAACCCTAGAAGGCAACCGCCCTCCAGAATGGGGCTTTTCCGGCATCGTCCCAGTTCCAAAGAAAGGGGACCTCACCATCCCAGACAACTACCGGGGAATCAGCCTCTCTCAAACTGCTGCCGAGGTATACAATCGACTACTTCTGAATCGCATTCGTCCGGAAGTTGAGAAGATGCTCCGTCCCAATCAAAGTGGCTTTCGGCCTCTACGTTCAACCTCATTTCAAATCCTTGCCCTCAGGCGCCTTATTGAGGAAATTCGTAACCACCAGAAGGAAGCTGCCATCATTTTCATCGATTTCTGTAAAGCATTTGACTCTGTTGACAGACCAACAATGTTTAAGATCCTGCATGCTTACGGTATCCCGGAGGAGTCCACTAATGCCATCAAAATTTTGTATGAAGATACAAGTGCTGTTGTTCTCACTCCCGAAGGTGAATCAGATTCGTTCTCGATCAACACTGGAGTTCTTCAAGGTGATCCTCTCGCCCCGTACCTATTCATCATAGTTCTGGATTATGCCCTACGGACAGCGTTAAGTGTAACCGATGGTCTCACCCTCTCACGCCGTAGGAGTAGTAGACACCCTGCCCAATATCTATCCGACCTAGATTATGCAGATGACATTAGTCTGCTTGCAGACACCCTCCTTGATGCCGAATCTCTCCTCCATCAAGTAGGAGCTTGCTGCAAGTCCGTTGGTCTCTCTCTTAACGCAAAGAAGACTAAGTACATGTACATGGCCATCAACCCATCAACCTCTGATGACGTCACTGCACTAGATGGCAGTAAGCTCCATAAAGTTGATGACTTCAAGTATCTGGGCTCCTACACCAACACAGCTCATGACATCGAGTGTAGAAAAGCTCAAGCTTGGTCTGCTCTGTTCTCACTGACCAAAGTATGGAGATCCTCGATCTCCAAGACCACCAAACTTAAGATCTTCAAGACCTCAGTAGAATCCATCCTCCTGTACGGTTGCGAGTCCTGGACCCTGACCAAACAGATCTCTGCGTCCATTGATGGCACCTATACACGGATGTTGCGGGCTGTTCAGAACGTTTCTTGGCAACAACATCTCCCTAACTCTGTTTTGTATGGTGCCCTTCCCCCTATCTCCACCACTATCAGACAGCGTCGCCTTCGGCTAGCCGGTCACGTTTATCGACATAATGAGCCAGCTAGTCAAGTTCTCCTCTGGAATTCTGAAGCCCCTCGACGAAAAGGTCGTCCCAACATGACCCTGAAAACATCCATCGAGCTAGAAACTGGTCTGAGTGGTCCATCTCTTTCCAACACTTTGCTCGACAGGGACAGTTGGGCCCAACTTATCAAGTCATCATGACAATGAATGAATGAAAGAAGAAGAAGAATAGATATTGTGGCGTCCGTGCCGGTCGGCCACCAGAGGGCACCAGCGCGGTTCCACGGTGGAGCCGCGCAGTGGAGCCCCTGGTGGCCGGCCGGGGAGGCCCGTTCTTCCGGGCGGCGCATGCGCAGTAGTATTGTCGTTGCCTCGTTGCTGAAGAGAATAGTTGTGTTTTGCGGTGTACGTTTTTGTGAGGAATAAACTGCCTAGAACCAGCAGAAACGAGTATACCTGTGTTGGAGTCCTTTTTGAGTGCGTGTGAGGAACCCCAGAATTGTTCTACGCTACATTGGTGGCAGCGGCGGCACGCAGAAGGCGGAAAAACAGGTGAATTTTTCAGATATTTTCTGCAATGAATTCAGGAGATCACGGAAGTCTGGCACCTAACTCGCCAAACGGCGAGGAGGCAGGCTGGAGTGCAGGCTCACGGAGTGGGGGCCCGTCTAGTGGATCGGCCGGCAGTACCTTCGTCACGGTGGACGAGTTGGAATCCTTTTTGCGGGATAGTCCGGGGAATTTTGGTGGG